TACTTTAAAAGACTATAAGCTACATCATCTTACACTTTACTGTCAACTAAATTAAAAATTGATTGACTCCGATTTTCATGAGGCTTTTTACGGGTTCTACATTAGCTTCAGTACCTCTGGAGCTACATGAAGCTAAATAGCTACGTTCAGGATAGGCTCCGGACTACAGAGGCAAATGTCAAGGAAAGATCGATAGAAGCTATAAATAATTCTAGGAGGCTTTGTTACAGGTGGTAAGCGAGTAAGACAATGATCAATAGTGAACGAGCAGTGCCTAGATCTGTCTTATTTGTCCTGTGAACTATTTACCTGACCGAGCTCAACTGGAATTTGTCCAGGAGGAAGCTGATTAGCAAGCATTTTAGATTTAATAAGTGGTGAGCTGAAGGTCTAGGATCAGTGAGGAGTAGAGAATTGACTTCTAAAGAAAAGGAAGAGATCACACTATGTCAGCCCCACCAGGTACGGTCTCTTAATGGAGTTAAAACAGAAGCAAGTGCTAAATTTAGAAACCTTTGGGGCCAGAGAGATAGCTCAGTAGAATAAGCGCTTGCCTGGCAAGCACAAGTTCCTGAATTCAATCCCTGGTTCAGCCAAAAATAAAAAATAAAATAATTTTAAAAAAGAAACCTTTACTCAGGAAATTTCCACCAGACACTTTGTTTACTGGGGTTATGCTATGTGGGAGGATATTCTTCAACTCATGGTTTCCCTATTTGTTTCTCCTACTGCTACGGGAAATCTGTGACATAAAAATAGTTACAGGGATTGAGGAGATAGCTCAGTCCCACCTTCAAGCCCAAGGACCCAAGATCAATCCCTGGTACTGCATGCTGGGACATGCCAGCCCCACACTGAGCCATCCACTGAAACTGAGCATGGTGGTGCATGCCTATAATCCCACTGCTGGAGAGGCTGAGACAAGAGGATCACCATGAGTATAACAGTGAGACCCTGTACCAAATAAATAAAAGATTTTAAAATAAAAAAAATAGTCAGGCTGGGGAGATAGCTCAGTAAAATAAGCACTTGCCTGGCAAGCACAAGGTCCTGAGTTCAATCCTTGGTACTGCCAAAAAAAAAAAAAAAAAGTTAACATTTATTAAGCAAATATGTACATATTTTTGTAAGATAGGGATTATCCTTTTTCTTTCTTTAAATAACTATTTCTCAAAAAAGATAAATAAATAACTATTTCTCAATTGCATTTATTGAAATGCCATCGTTCCTCCATTTACTTGAAGTGTCATCTTTAATATACTAGTCATAATAAGCATACCAATATTGATTGGTATACATATACATGTATACATATATATATGTATTTCTTTTTTAAAGAGCCTTTTCTACCAGTTCAAAAAGCTTAATTAACCAGCAGTCACACCTGAATTTTTTGTCTCTGGGGCATAGATAGCAGACCAAGATTAAAAGTAGCAACTCAGCCATGTGAGCTGCCTGCCTGGGCTGTCCTGCTGTCTTGCTGACTGTGGACACTGAGGATAGTGTGTTCCCAGTAGGTCCTGGCTCAGCCTTCAGAGGTTTTGGGCTCTGCCTTGTTCAGTGGACTGTTAACTTCAGTCCCTTTAGCCCATGTGGGGTTTTCTCAGAGCACTGCCCAAGTTAAGTATATGTTTAGCCAAATAATTTCTCCATAAGAGAAAATGCAATCATCCAAAATTTACCAACAGTGACAGAGATGAGAGTAGAAAAGACTAGGTAACATCTAAGTTTTAATTTGAGAATTGTTGAAGTCCTTGTCAGAGGCCATCTGGGAGCAAGTGATGTTGGAGATTCTTCAGGAGACCCCATTTGAAATGCTAAGATCATCAGTGAGGGGAACAGTTGTTAAAATGACAGGGACTTTTTCCTCTCTCTCTTTTTTTTTTCTAGAATTCTGTAAAAATGCAATGAAAATTGAGTAATACTTGAGAATTGAAGGAGAGGGTTACCGCAGATGAGAAACATGTTTCTAGATTTCAGTTCCACACCACAAACTCACATACTGCCATTTTTCAACTGTTTAAAATCTGCTTATGAATTTGACATGATCTTAATGGTAATGGCAAAAGCCAAAGTTCTCACTTGTTAATATTTTCCACATTTGTCCTTGAATCTGAATAACTATACAGTACTGTAAATTTAACTTGCATCGTATTGATGTCAATTCTTAAGAAAGAGCTTTCTGCATGTGGTAGACATGAAGTTAACATGACAGAGTCTAAAATTTGCAGGAACAGCTTTGAATCAACAGAAAATGTCACCTTTTATTTAATATCTATAAGTTTTACCAGCTACTTCTATATTTGTACATTATTTATAAGGAAAAGAAGGAAACTCTAAGACTTGTCTGACTTAGTGGAGGATGCGTGTGTTGGGCTTAGGATGGGTAGCTGTCAGTAGTGTTATCTGACTTGTACATACAAATTGTAATTAAAAGTTTGGATTCACCTGTTTCTCACAGTTTAAAATGAGTAACCATAAACTCTGGAATTGTGACTAGTATATGATTTAAGGCTATAGAAGTGAGGAAGCTCTTGCAAGTGATAAACCTAAAGACCCTTAGTTTTTGGATCAAAATCAGTAAGTACTGTTTGTATACCAGAATATGTGAGATGTAAATGTAGTAGGTCACTTTTCACCCTTGTAGCTATAAAATAAAAATTTTGTAGGACAGAAATAGCTTGTACTACTGAATTAACAAAAGTTATACTAAAATATCCTGTTTTAAAATATATACATATATATATATATATACACACACACACACACACACACACAGAGTTAAGCTTGTGCTGTTACCCTATCTGGATTTGAAAAGTGTGCTGATTTATATATGTACTACACACACACACACACACACACACACACACACACACCCCTCTAAAATGGCCTGAAGCAGAAGTCTATGTAATTACAGTTGCAAAATGAAAAACATTTTGGAAAGAACATTGTATCATAGTTCATTCATTTGCAGTGGGTCTTTGTTCCTTTTTACTGTGGTAATTTTAGAAATGAGTGTCAAGTTTGAAATTAGATCTGCTAAGTTGGGGTTTTGCTGCTTAAACTCTGCACTGGGTCCTCAAACCGATGTGAATGTAGTCCCCCTCACCCCCCCTCGCCGTGTGAAGCAGCCACACCCCAACAGATAGGAGGAAAAATCTAGAACTATTTCAAGTTTTATCTTTTTGTATATGAAAATAAAATGATCATAATAAAACAACTTTGTTGTTTCTGTTAATCACATGTAATGGACTGAAGTTTTGTTTCATTGGCATTTGAAAGATACACAATTTGCCTGCTTATGGAGCTGGCTTGAGTCAATCTGTCAGTTCCTGCTTGTTATACAGGCAAGCTGTTGATGGCAGAGGGCTGCTGTACCATCACCTGTGGGCTGGAGCCAGCACAGTTCTCCATTTCTGCCATCCATAGGCCAGGGCCTCCATAGGGGTGTCATGTAAGTCTGCCAGATGGATCACTGTGGGACTCTGGGTGAAGTTCCTGCATGACAGAGGTGTTTTCCAAGTCTCTCAAGAGCCTACCCTCTCAGTATTCCCATACTTTGTAGACAACCCTAAGTGATATTTTTGTAAGTGGAACAGAAAAGCCTTGAAAATAAGTTGTATAGAGAGCCTGCAGAGTACAAACTTTGCCATTCTCAGATGGCTGAATACTGGGGTCACTTGCTAAGATACTGAATTTGGTTATGAGGCCCTACTCTAGACCTTGATTTAGAAAGCCTAGTCTAACCTTTAGAAGACCTTGACTTAATCTCACTAAGTCAAAACATGGTTCCTAGGGGATAGGGAGATAGCTCAGCACCTGCCTGGCAAGTGCAAGGTCCTGAGGTCGATCCCAGTACTGCAAAACACAAAGACCAAACAAAAATAACAATGGTCTCTACTACCAAATCAAGAAAACAGGAAAGCCTCAGAAATCACCTGATTGCTCCTGCAGAAAGTTGGGAGTTTAAGACTAATAATTGCTTAATTGGAGAAACGTAATCTGAATCTTTTGGCAAGTTTCATGTATCCCTTTTAATTCAGCCTTTAATGGGAGACTCTGCTGAAAGAATGTTTTTGATTTAGATGCTCTTTATTTAGGGACCAGTTGTCCAAACATGTGGCTCATTTTGGTGTTGCAGATTTAGAAAGTTCATTTCTTATTCATGAGCACACTGAGTAAGCATAGGAAGGAAGGAAAGAAAGGTAAAAGGTGGATATTTTTATTTATTTGGTACAGGGTTTCACTACACAACTCGGACTCCTAGTGATCCTCTTGTTTTCAGCCTCCCCAGCCCCGGGATTACAGGCGTGCATCACCACATCTGGTTTCATGGCCAGCTCAGCTTGCCTGGGGGTGGGGCCGGCCTGGCATGTGCCAGGGAATCAAATCCCGGTCCCTATGCTTGCTTAAGCAGGCACTTAGTCTGCTGAACTATCTCACTGGCCCTAAAAGGTGGATATTTTTAATAGGAGATCTTGGAGCTGTAAAAGCTGAAACATTGGGCCCTGGGACTCATCTGCTCATATTTTTTTCTTTAGCAAAGGAATTCTTTTACCAAAAGAAGTTTGACACAAGATAGGTTTAGAAAAGCAGGTGTGTCTGAGTGAGTGCAAGTAGAAGAGGGCTCAGGCCATTTGACTTGCCCTCCCATCTCTTAAGGCTTAGGCACCACCATGTAGCACCCTGGTTAGTTTTTAAACTAGTCCAGTGTATTTATTTTATGGGAGGCAAAAAGGCTCAAAGCTAGTTTCACTACCAAAGTCCAGCAGCCCTTCCAATTTGTAGGGTCAAGTGGGATCCACTGTTGTTTCCCAGTACAGGGGAAACATCATCTGTCATCTTTTTTTTTTTTTTTTTTTTTGGCAGAACTGGGGATTAGAACTCAGGCCCTTGCACTTGTCAGGGAAACACTTATGCTACTGAGTCATCTCCCCTGCCCCTTTCATCTCTATCTTTAGTAATTAGTAAAGTGCCCTGCACTTGAGGTCCTTGGAAAATGCGTAGGTGACTATATTTAATAAATTTCGGTGCAAACTGCTAAAGTAGTCTCAAAGCCTACAAATAGTTTTGTATTTGCTGAACCCTCAGCTGCAAATGACAGAAACCACCAGGCAAACCAGGCTTGGTACTGCACACTTTTAATCCTAGCACTTTGGAGGCTGAGGTGGGAGCAGCATCATGAGTATGAGGTCAGCATGGACTACATAGTCCTAATATCAAGAAACAACATAACCCCACCAAGTAATTGGCCAAATAGGGGCTCCAGTAAAAGGATGTTGATGGAAGTGGCCAGGACAAGCTTCAGGAGCCAGGAGCCAGGAGCCAGGAGCCAGGGTCATGATATTGCAGGCCCCTCCACTTTTTTTTTTTTTTTTTTCCCTGCACATTCTTGCTATGTAGTTTCAGCTAACCTTGTAGCCCAGGCTGGCCTCAAACTCCTGTTCCTCCTGCCTCAGCCTCCTGAGTGTTAGGACTGCAAGTGAAAGCCACCATGTCTGGCTCTGCCTTCACTTTGGTCTAAGTAGCTACTTTCTTCCACTGTTGTTCAGGGACAAACCAGGTGCATCTGCTCATTTGTCTCCTTAGTGGGAAACAAAGTAGGTATTTCTACAATCCAGAAAGTGCCAGGTTCACTACCTGCAGAGTGTTGGATCCAGAATTGCTAGAAAGGACTGATTCACATAGCTCAATCCAGACTCAGAGGATTATATCACATGACTATGTAAGAGATTGCCCTAAGGAGGGGGCAGCCTCTTTGAGGCTGTGAAAACCATCTAGGCACTTCTTCAGTTGATGGTTAGAAATGGTCTCCTGCTGAATGACCATCTAGGTAAAAAGAATTGATAAATAGACTTGCTAAGTTTTTCTAATTGCTAAGAAACAGAACTAAGTCCACATGGAAAGCTGGAGATTGTGCTGCAAAATGAAGGACATTGATGAGTGGGAGTTGATGAAATATATGTGATAAAGTGGAAGTTTTAAGGATTGTTAGTATAGTAAAACACTATGATCATTAATGCCACTTAAAAAATAACTCCCATCTTACTTTTCTCTCTTTGCTGAAACAAAATACTCAATGCCCAAAATTAAGGAAGGGAAAAGTTTATTTAGCTCACAGTTGTGGAGGTTTCAGTCGAGAATTAGCTGGCTCAAAGGCAGGGTGGCACATGGCAGAGGGGTGACAATGGAAGCTGAAGACCAAGACCACAAAAGCAGGACGAGCAAAAGTGGAAAGAGGAAGCCTCTTTCTCTCCCTGACATTGTATGTGGGCCACCTGCTGTAGGGTGGGTGTCACACCCAACCCCAGTCCCTGCAGACAATGAACCAATCATACTAGATTCGGCCACCTTTGAAGCTTTTCCTGATTGCATGAGGCTTTGGGGGAATGTCGGACACAAACCATACCATCCCCCTTGCTTCAGATATACCCATTGTTCGTGGCACTTTCTGAAGCAGTTCTGAGAATCCTCTTGTGTGTCTAGTTGTGCTCTGTGGCTGCCTCAGTTGAAAATGTTTAGTTGTCAGTGGCAGAAGTTGCATGGTGCCATAGCCAATGAATAAAGTTGATGAGGACACATCTTAAAAGCCATAATGTTTCTTTATAAAAATTGTCTAAATGTTTCATCAATGATGGATGATGAAAAACACAGTGAAATGTTTGAAATTTATTAGAGTAAGACATGAAACCCATTCAAAATACCCCCCACTACCACCACACACACTTAGAACACACATCCCATCTTTTTTTTTTTTTTTTTTTTTTTTTTTTTTTTTTTTTTTTTTTTTTTTTTTTTTTGGTGGAACCAGGGATTGAACTCAGGCCCTTGCGCTTGCCAGGGAAGCGCTTATTCCACTGAGCCATCTCCCCGGCCCCCATCCCATCATTCTTGACAATGTATCTTTCATAAGATTTTTAAGAAATTAAACATTCAGTATTGGATCATTCTTGCATGTCCTTCCTTTGTCACAGGCATTCAGCAGACTGGACTTGATATTCCACCAAGACAAAGACTTAATAAAATTGCTTGTATTTACAGAAGTCCATTGTCTAAGCATTATCGTTCCCATGTTAAAGGGGAAACAAGCCCAGAAAGGTAAAACGACACACCCAAGTAGTTGGGTGGAAATTCAACTCTGACCTAGGATTTTGAGGCACCAGGGAGTCTTGCTAAGAAATTCTAGGAAGTACAAAGCTAGTTTAACTTGTGACTATACAGTGTGACTTTGAAGCCAGGTACCATGAGAACACCTGTGGCACAGACGTACCCTGTCTCAAAAATTTTTAATGTTTATGTTGATGGTTGTACTATGATTATTGAAGAGAATATCCTTATCTTTAGCAAATACAAATATTAAGAGGTCAAAGATAAAGAATTTCCAAATATTTTAGGAAACATACATATACATACAGAATGTTAAAGCAAAAGTAAACATTTGGGGCATCTGAATTTGCAACTTCCTGAAAGTCTAAAATTTTCAAAATAGGGCCGACCAGATCCCTCAGCGGATTAAAGAGCCTGCTTTGGCAGACACAGGGACTGGGGTTCGATCCTGGAGTGCCGTGCCGTCCCTGCCCTGGGGGAGCACTGAGAGGGAGATTAGACTGGGTGGGCCTATAATTCCAGCACTTGGGAGGCTGAAAATAGAATCACTATGAATCTGATCTGTGTAGTGAGACCCAGTAGACCCCGTACTAAATACTTTTTTAAAAAATTAAAAATTTCAAAATAAAGGTTTTAAATATGTCACAGTATAGTGAAAAAGTATTAGATAACAATTTAAAGAAAAGTGACTTGAATATGATCATTAAATCAACATTTAATCACAAATACTAAAGCTGTCTCTACAGTTTGGAACAGAAAACAATACTGCTTTTTTAAAATTTTATTTATTTTTTTCTGATTAATAGGACAGTTTCGATAATACTGCTTTGAAGATTAGGTGAAAGTAAGATACTGAATCAGTACGGATACTGGAAAATAAGTTCTTTTTTTTCTGATATAATTGTGTATTTAGAAGAGCCAAATGACAGTGGTAGAAATCTATTAACATTAATAAGGGCATTTGGTAAGTGGTTGAATAAAAGATGAACGTACAAAAATATTTTTCAAAGAGGGGGGGATACATGTAGCTCAGCGTGAAGGTTCAATCCTAGCAAGGCACACAGTTTAGGAGTCGAACATGACTTGGAATCTGCTCTGGGGGCCTTAATGGACCTTATGGCAGTGTTTACTCACCTCAGAGATAACGTCGGCTCTCAAGACCTCATCCTTGCACCGTCTTCTGGCCCAGTGGACTCGCAGTGTGAGCGCGGGAAGCACCTGCTCCTCCGAACCTGTCACTAGGGGGTGTTCGGCTTGCGAGGGCGCGGGCGGGGCTCGGTACCACCCGCTGGCGCTTCAGGCTGCGCATGCGTGTCAGGGTCCCACGGCGGCTATTGGCTTTAAAGAGCCTAACTCGGTGCGCGCATGCGCAATGGTAGAAGTCCGGTGTTTGGAGAGCGATGGCTGCTAAGACTCTTGCTTCCCGCCTCCGAGGCTCCCGACGTTTTCTGAGTGGCTTCATGTCCGGGGCTGTACTGGGCGCCGCGGGAGCGGGGCTGATGGCCCTGCAGTTCTTCCGGAGCCGGGATGCGGAGACGGCGGATGGTAAGTGTTTGGGCCGCTGGGGCCCCGCGCTCCGCAGCTGCCCCCCGGAGTGATGTTGCTGCCAGCGTCTCGGCAAGGCCGTTCGCCCCATCACCCCCCGGACGGTGCCGGAGCCGCCCCGAGGCAAGCAGCGCTGGTGCGGACCGGCGTTCGGTGAGCGTGCGCGAAGGAGCCGCGGACGCGGTGTTCGCGGAAGAGTCGTCCTCGTTCCGAGGAAGAATGCTGGCAGCCCCTCTTCGGACTGTGAATCCTCGGGTTACGGGGCGAGAGCGTTTGTCCTGGACCACACAAGTGAGCACACGCTCGTTCCCTGGACGTGCTAAGTTACTTGCTTGAGCCGGAGAGCTGCTGTGGGGTTGCAAACTGGAAAAAGCATCCAGGGAGGATTACCTCGAAACTGCCCTGCTCTTACGTGTGCCTCTTCCTCCTGCTGGGAACAACAGTACCACGTTGTTTTTGTGTTTGTTTTTTGAGACAGGGTCTCGCTCTGTAGTTAAGACTGCTCTTGAACTCATATGTGACTCAGGCTGGTCTCGAACCTGAGATGATCCCCCTGCCTCGGCCTGCCCAGTGCTAGAATTACAGGCGAGCGCTACCGCGCCCGCCAACAGTATCACTTTCAGTGTTTTACCGCAGTGCACATCTCAGAGTTTCAGTGCCAGAGCCTTGAGGAGGTCCGCCAATGATGATCGTTTGAAAAACTTAGACTACGACTGCGTTTGTCCCTGAACTCAGACTTAAACCATAAGCGTGTAGGTTCTTTTTCATCCAGTCCATCACAACGGTCCTAACGTTCAGTAATGTTTTTGCTGTAAGTGCTGCTTTAGTATAAGATTTTGTTTTTGCTTTGTGTATGGAACAGAGATTTGGAAATGTGAAAGGAAAGTAAGATTAAGTCCTTATTTCCGTGTCGTTATTTTATTATTGTTATTTCCGTACTGGGGGTTGAGGCCAGGGTGTTTGTACCGAGCAACATTCCCAGTCCTTGTTTTCGTCTTTAAGATTTTGAGACTGGATCTTACTAAGTTGCCCAGGCTGGGCTTGAATTTGAAATTACCCTGCCTCAGCCTCCCACGTGCTGGGATTACAAACAGTTGGGCCAACACACCTGGCAGGACCAGGTCCTTATTTGTTTTTGGTGCTGGGGTTGAATCCAGGGCCTCATGCACATACCCTCAGTGAGTTACATCTTCAGCCAGGTTCTTGTTTAAAAAATGCAGTGATTTCCCTGGCAAGTGCAAGGGCCTGAGTTCAATCCCCAGTTCCGCAAAAAATAAATAAATAAATAAATAAATAAAAAATAAAAGAAAAATAAATAAATAAATAAAAAATGCAGTAACTGCACTTTTTTATGATGCACCTATACTGCCAAACTACAGGCAAAACCAGCACTTTTTCAGACTTTTTTAACCTAAGTGAATAAAATAATAATAAATTCATAAATAACTGCAAAAGTAAGATCTCTTGGTTGATTAGACTTTTGAACTCATTCTTTATAAATCTCACCCCTTGCTTATATCTTTTGCTTTCAATAAGAGTCACTAATTATTTGTTTTTGTCCCTCCTTCTCCTTTCTTTTTTCATTGCAGGATCTGAAGAAAAGGCTGTCTTGGAACAATTCGGATTTCCTTTAACTGGCACAGAGACTCGGTGTTACACTAATCATGCTTTGTCTTATGATCAGGCAAAGCGGCTACCTAGATGGGTTCTTGAGCATATATCTAAAAGCAAGATCACAGGTAGGTGGTTATAAGAAGATTAAAGAAATGGTATTCATGAAAGATGCTTCTAATTTACAATGAAGAGGATTGTCGATAGTATTTTCTATCTTTCTCATACCTTATGTAGGAAATGATACAGCTCATTGATTAAATAGACCCTGCTTGGCCCTTCCCAGCTGTCTCAGGCCTGAGAGGATCTTCATCTTGACATGAGTTGGGAGGCTCTATCATTAATGAACATCTTCAGGTTTTTTTGAGACAGGGTCTCACTATATAGTTCAGGATGGCCTTAAGCTCACTTTGTAGCCCAGTCTGGCCTTGAACTTGCAATGATCCTCCTGCCTCAACCTCTCCAGTGCTGGGATTACAGGCTATAGGCATGCACCACCACTCTTGGTTTTCCACAAATGTTTTTAATGCCTATTATGAATCTGGCACCATGCTAAACCAATTTATTGCCGTGACCAGAATAGATGGCCTCTAACTCCATGACATTTTGAGTTGGTGTAGTAGGTTGACATATCAAATGATTATGAACATACAATTGATTGTAACTCTTTTGAAGGAAACAAGCACAAGTTGGTATTATTAAAAAAGAGTTAAGACCTCAGTGAGAGATTTCAATAGAAGAATGTGACTTTGATTAGTGTGCTTTTCTGAGAAAGTAGATTGAAGATTGGATTGTGGTTACCTTGATAGGCACTGGGTGGGCTGTGGTATATGGTGAGGCGCACTCTTGGCAGAAAAAAAGCACAGTTATGTCTTTCAAGACACAAAGTGGGGAAGAGTTTGTTCCTTTAGGGAGCTAAAAGAAGGCTGTAACTAACTGGAACAGGACAAATGTGCGGACGTGATGCTGGAGAGTTAGGCAGGTACATAAATCTCTTCATGTGTCCTTGCATCACAAGATCCCTTTAATTAAGATGACCCGATTTTGTAATGAGGTTCAAATTGGTTTCTAGGTAGATTCTTCTGGTTTACATTCCCACCTTCACTGTTTGTCCAACTCCTCACCCACATCTATGGTGAGTGGTATTAAGCTTCACCAGTTTGTTTTGATTTTACTAGTGCTTAGTGATTATCAATGAGTGGTAACATTTTGTGAATTATTTTTTCTCTATAAGTTATTCTTTGCCCATTTTCAGTTGGGATAACCTTTTTTGAGTTGGTTTCTATGACCTCAACCTCTGTTATTAGTAAGGATTTACCTTTTATCATAGCCTTTTAAAAAATTATTTATTTGGTACAAGGTCTCACTACACAGCTCAAATTCTTAGTGATCCTCCTGGCTTAGTTTCCCCAGCCCTGTAATTTCAGCCTGCACCACCATGCCTGCTTTTGGTGGCCTACAAAGCATCCCTGTGGGTCCGGAGCTGACACGGCATATGGTGCCAGGGATTGAACCCTGGTCCTTGCACTTGCCAGGCAGGTGCTTAGACCTCTGAGCTACCTTCCCAGCCCTTATTATAGTTGTTTTATCCCCATTCTGTTATTTGCCTTTGAATTTGTTTTGTGGTCCATGTAGTTCTCTGCTTGGCTTTAAAATGTGTGCTAAATCTATGAATGCTAAAATGTTGATGCAAAAGGAGTGTGTCCTGGTCTAAAGCACACAATAGTACAGTAGGAGGCTGGGGATGTACTTGTTGCTAGAGGGACTCTGATGTAATTGAAGACTGTCATGGAAATAAGAGTTGGTTATAAATTTATCATTTAAATTAAGAGAAACATTGATTTCTCAAGTTTGAGAACTTCCCGTAAAAAGAGAATGTTCCCAAGGTAAAAGAATCTTGAACTTTACTAATTTTATGTTGCTGTTAAATGAATATTTTGAGAAGCATATAAGAAAAGTGGTATGTTTTATGTTGCAAATCCCATGACTTGTGTACTTAAGATGTGGTAAAAAAGAGCAAATTAATTTTATTGAAAATACAAAGTAGGAGGGCCAGCTAGATAGCTCAGCAGACTAAAGCACCTGCTTAGGCAGGCCCAGGGACTGGCATTCTATCTCAGGCATGCTATGCTGGCCCCACCCCTGCAGCAGGCTGAGAGAGCGACTGAGACTGGGCATAGTGGTGCATGCCTGTAACCCTGTAAGTGCTTGGGAGGCTGAAAACAGGAGGATCACTACAAGTCTAATCTGTGTAGTGAGACCCTGTAGGTCCTCTACCAAATACATAAAAAAAGAAAGAAAATACAAAGCAGGGCTGGGGAGATAGCTCAGCAGCATAAGCGCCTATCTTGCAACTGCAAAGTCCTGAGTTTGATGCCAGTACCAAAAAAAAAAAAAAAAACCCAAAACAAAAACAAAAACCAAAAAACAACAAAGGAGTATACTTAGTATTAGTTCACTTTGACATAAAGATCTTCCTTATTCAGCATTGACAGGTGGAGTTATTCAGACTAACTCCAATTGAAAGTAACAAACTTACTAGCAGTTTATAAAAATTATTTTAAAAACCCACATAGCAAAGAGCCAGCATATAGCAAATAATTGTCAAGGCAATATTCGGGGTAAAGCCAGGTCTGGCAGTTTGTTTGTGTCTTGGTTACTTTTCACTAGTTGCTGGGACAAAATACCCGACACCCAAAAGTAAGGAAGGGAAGGTTTATTTAGCTCACAGTTACTGGAGGTTTCAGTCCATACTGCGCTGGCTCCAAGGCAGGGTGGCACCTGGCAGAGGGCAGCAGTTCCTGGAGGTGGAAAACAGGAAAGAGCAAAGGGAGGAGACGCAGTCACAGCTTCTAGCAAGCCTCTCTCCCTTCCATGCTGACTGGGAAGACCAGAGCTCGGCGGAGGAAGCGGTCTTTCACCCTCCCTCAGTCTCGTTTTTATATCCTTTACCTGGGGAATCACTCTCGGGAGTCACTCCCTCTATACCCTAGGAGGGAGGATAGAGCTATACAGTGTCCATGCCCTCCTCTTGCACAAGATGAAGATGTTTACAAAGTAACAGCCCTGGCTCTCTGTTGAGTCACTTAATTAAACGTTTGAACTTAATCAAGTTGACACAATGTATCATCCATTATAGTCTGATTAGCCTGGTGGGGAGAGGGTTTGGTTCACCCACCCAAATGGGTTGTTCCATAGTGGCTCCTCTCTAAACTAACCTGGAACCCAAGAAAACCATCCCCAGGGAGAGGGGTGAATTGGAACTCACTGCCTGCATACTGTGGGGATGTGCAGGGAAGGGTCATCTTGGTATGAGCAGTGAGGCCTCAAAATGGAAAGCAAAATCATGTTCCAGAGACACTGCGTTCAAGAGTGGCTAGCATCGGGCTTTAACCAAATCCACGCAGTATAGTGGGTCTGAGAGCCATAATCCCCTGTGTGGTTTAATACAGTCCTCCAGTGGTGATGCTGCATGATACCTGATAAAAGCAAATTTACTTCTTTTCCCAAGAATGGCAAGTTAGGCCTTCAACTTCAAAAATCCTCACGAGTTCAAGGGCAGTGAGCCCCAGGTTCAGATCAGTTAAGTGTACAGGAAGAGGTTAATGGCACTAAGCAGTTTCTTTCAATAATTCTTCAGTGGTATTGGCTATTTTTTTTTTTTTTTTTTTGTATTTAGTATAGGGTCTGCAGGGTTTCACCCCACAGATCGGACTCGTAGTGATCCACCTGTTTTGAGCCTCCCAAGAACTGGAATTACAGGCACACGCCGCCACACCCAGTCTCAACCCTTGTCTCCGTGTACTCCAGGGCTGGGGCTTGCAGGGCTCCGCACTCTGCCTAAGCAGGCGCTTCAGACCATTGAGCTATCCAGCCAGCCCCCATGGTTATTTTTTTCTTTATGAATTGTTTCTAAAGCAGTAGTTATTAAATACTTTGTTGTGGACCTTGGCTCTGATAATTTTAAATTCTCTTGGCTCACTGAAATTATACTGAAAGTAGAACTTCAGTGGTTTCCATTTTACCATTTTACATTTTTTTTTTTCCAGTAATGGGGATCAGTTATATCCCATCCCCAATTCCTGGTGGTTGAATTCAGTACATTTGCACTGAGCCACATCCCTGAGGCTTTTCTTTTTTGATTTTTTTTTTTTTTTTTCTTTTTTAGAGGTAGGATCCTGCTGAGTCCCTAAGTTTCCCAGGCTGGACTGGAAATTATTTTCTTCTTGCCTCAGCCTCTCAGGGTGCTGGGATTACATAGACTGCATTTCCTGGCCAATACAGAGTAGCAGTCTAAGCATATTCTGTTTGTGCTCATAAGTTTCTATAGTTTAGCAAGGTCTGTCTTTATAACAGTGGAAAATAAAGTGTTTGGATTTGCTGATGACTTTTATGGCAAACCATTTTGGAGGTATCAAAAGGAGTAAAAATTAAAATTTCACCCATGATGCTGGCTGGAGCTCATAACTTAAATGTTTGTTTTGTCATGACTTAAGAGGCATTAAGCAGGATATCAGAGACACCTGCCTCCAGGCTGTGCCTGCCCAGAACAAATTGTTGTGAGTCTATATTTATCCATTATTTCAGTACATAGAATTTGTCAGAATATAATTGTAAAGAATACAATACATAAGTGTCCTTTTGAAAAGTAGTTCCTTTAGTAGCTAAGGTTTTTAAACATCATAGCCATTTGATTATCTAGAGTGGTATGTCTTTAATTGGAAAGGCCCGGATGAAAATTATATGAGACAGCTTCACTGTATGAAAAGCATTCTTTACTAGACCAGGGCTTTCTAAATTCAGATATAGTATCCGAACTATGCCAGGAACTTGAGCCACACAATCCCTACTACTAGCTCGTGAAGAGATACCAGCTGGTTGCAGCCAGCTTGCTTTGCCTCGAGAACTTGGAGGGATATCAGACCACTGATAACCTCATTTTGTGTGTTTTCTTCAGGTGACGCAGACAGAAAACGCTGTAAATTCAAGCCTGATCCCACTATCCCACCAACATTCAGTGCCTTCAACGAGGACTATGTTGGAAGTGGCTGGTCACGTGGACACATGGCTCCAGCAGGAGATAACAAATTTTCAAGTGTAGGCATATTTTGGGGAGGGATGGGAGTAGGGGGCTGATGTTTGTGTACCAAGGATGTACTGGTTAGGATTCCTAGAAGGTTAGGAATTATAATATTTCCTCTACGTTATTTGGAGGTTGTTATATGATCCCTATATCAGAGGGACCCTCTAGAAGCCAAATCTTAAAAAAACTTTTAGGTACTTCCATTGTTTGTTTTTTATTTTATTCTGAATTCTCTTTCTCCTTTTCTTGTGAGATGCTGAGTCATTTTTGTGTTTAATTTATTTTTACCTTTTTTTTTTTTTTCAGAACTGGGGATTGAATTCAGACCCTTGCGCTTGCCTGGGAAGCACTTATTCCACTGAGCCATCTCCCCATCCCTTTTACTTTTGCTTTTATTTTTGTTTTTTTGAGATAGGATGTTGCTGTGGAGTTCAGGCTGGCTTTGAACTCAATGTGTATACCTAAGCAGGCCTCCGACTTACAGTGAACCTCTTGTGTCAGCCTCCCGAGTGCTGGAATTATAGTGTGCACCACCACATTTGGCCTGAACAATTTTTAAACAAGTTGAATGAGGGAAACCAAATGTCATAAAAGGAAATAAAAAGCTACCAGGAAGCTGAGTATGGTGGCTCATGACTGTAATCCCAACACTTGGGAGGCTAAGGCAGGAGGCTAAGGCAGGAGGATCATTGAAAGTTCAAGGCCAGTCTGGGCTACATAGCCAAACTCTTGTCTAAAAAAACAGTCATCAACAGCAACAGAAAATCATAGGGAATGAGGCTACTCATGTTTTATTTTTTATTTTTTGTATTTTAGGGAAGGGTCTACAGGGTGTTCAGGGTCTTACTACTAGATCAGACTCTAGTGATCCACCTGTTTACAGCCTCCCAAGAGCTGGAATTACAGGCTCATGCCACCACCCTCAGTCTCAACTGCCTTTGCAGCATGCCCCAGGCGTGGGGCTGGCACGGCAGGCCCAGAGATCAAACCTCCAGCTCCTATACCTGCTTACAGGTGCTTTAATCCACTGAGCTATTTGGCTGGCCCTCTCATCTTTTAAATTATCATTACTTTTACTGTTTATTTTCCTGGTATCTGGGGATTGAACCTAGGACCTCTTGTACTCTAGGCAGATGCTCTACCATTGAGCTACACCCAAGGCCCCAAGTCTTTTTTTTTTTTGAAAAGTTTTGGACCTATAGAAAAGTTGAGAAAAATAATACAGCAGTCATGTTTGGTACATTTACTCTGTTTCTCTCTCTCTCTCTCTGTCTCTCTCGTGTGTGTGTGTGTGTGTGTGTGTGTGTGTGTGTGTTTTAAAACTATTGACAGGAAATTGTAGACGTAACACTGTATTCCTAAATGGAGTGCTCAGGGGCATGTATTATCTAAGAATAAGGGTGTTTGTATATAACACAAAAGAGTATTATCATACCAAGAAGTATGTACGGATGTATTTTTTATATTTGCACAGTGTTGTCTAAAGTACAGTTGATACTAAGATTATCCAGATTCCCAATTGTGTCCTTTTTTTAATTTTTAATTTTTTATTTGGTACAGGGTCTCACTATGCAGCTCAGATTCATAGTGATCCTCCTGTTTTCAGCCTCCCAGCACTGGGATTATAGGTGTGCGCCACCACGCCCAGTCTTGGTGGCCAACTCAGCTCACCCAGAGATGGGGCTGGCAAGGCATGTGGTGCCAGGGAGATTGATCCCCAGTTCCTGCGCTTGCCTAAGCAAGCACTTAGTCCATTGAGCTATCTCGCCGGCCCTCAATTATGTCTTTATTAGCTCTTTGGGTGTGGGATCTGATCATGAACCACAATTACATTGTGTTGTCATAGCTCTTTAGTCTCCTTTAATTTTAGGATAATTTCCCTACCAAAAAGGGGTTGGGGGAGGATTTCATGATATTATTGAGTGAACTCTTTTTGTTTGTTTGTTTTGAGACAGGCTCTCATTATGTAGTGCAGGCTGGCCTTGAACTCATTATGTAGCCTAGGCTGGCCTCGAACTCAGTGATCTTCCTGCTTCAGCCTCCTGAGTGCTGGGATTACAGGTGCGCGTCACCACGCCAGGCTTACTGTGTGAATTCTTGATGTTGTTAAAAGACAGTGGTTCTCACCTGTGGTACTCATTCTGATCAGCTGGGGGTTGTGCAAAAAACCCCCTTGCAGAAACTCTTGAAGATGGACCCAGGCATCAGCTAAGCTTCCTAGATTACAGAGAATACTTCTCTGCTTTTGAACGAGTGTGCTTGCATTAATACCTCTTAATATTCCCGAAAGTTGACTGTAGTTGAGGAATTCTCTGCCAGAGGCTTAAAAGCAGAATATGGTCTTAAGCTTTACATTGGAAGCTTTTAGTTCTTTGAGTTTACATTATAGATTTGGATTTTATAAATGATAAGCCAAGATAAGCACACAAACCTAAAGTCCTTACTTGGATAAACTTTAAACCTAAAGTTGCCAGAGTACCTGCAACTTTCATTTATCCAAATAAACACTAATTGCCTAGAAGTAGTGTATGGATAAGGAACTGGTTTTCTGTTTGCTTTGTAGACTAACTTAAAGGTAGGACATTTCAGTGAAAGTTATTATTATTATTTTTTTTTAACAGAAAGCCATGGCTGAAACCTTTTACCTTTCTAATATTGTGCCTCAGAATTTTGATAATAATTCTGGATATTGGAACAGGTAAGTTGTGAGAATTTTTAAAATAAATTCTGTGGAA